AGATAACCAACATGAAGACCTGGCTAAAGAAGAAAACAGACAAGAAAATAAAACGGAAAATGAGATTATTTGAAAGTAATTTCCCAAAATAATAAATATACACCTGCTGCTCGATCTGCTGTGGGCAGATGCACTTTACAAGGAGTAAATGCTTCCAATTGGGAAGCAAATACTCTCTTTTATTTATAAGAAAAAGAGTATTTGCTTTTTCCTGGAGCATTTGCTTCCGAGTGAGAGGTTTTGCTTGAAATTTTATCATACTGGATGAAGCACCAACAAAAAATGCTCTTGTCCATTCATGTCCCACATGATGTATCGTCTATGTCTTGGTCTAGGATCTGGCCATTCTAAACAATTTTTCTCAAGGCTGACTGCTTATGTTTGGCATATTATGAAATTGATGAGCAAGTGATTGTTTGGGTGGGCGCACAATAACCTGTTTCACGTCTGTTACAAGTTTCACTACAGAAAAAAAATCACTCCAAAATATTTGTTGAGTGTTTTTTGTTATGGTCATATCTGAGGTTATATCATAAATGAAAATGTATATGTATATTAAGTCTGTTTCTGCAGAAATCACTAACCAGTCAGAGGGAATTTCATTGTTTGAAAACAGTCAGAAAACTAGTTTCAGCCAATGAAATTCACTTTGATTGGTTTGTGACTCTTGCAGAAACAGACCTAGACAAAAGGTCAAGAAAAGGGCTGGATCGTAAATTTGTGGGGCATAATTTAAGTTGATAAGGCTCGAAATAGCCCCAAAAGGAATAAGTTGGCAACACTGGATGTTTCTTCGATTTTCCTATCATCACAACTTAAAATAGTTCGTAAACATTAGAATTTTGAAGGAATATACTCGAGAATACATAGGAATACAAAGGAATACATATAAATACATAAGAATACATAGGGCATACATAAGAATACATTGGATTACATGAGGCTTGTACAGTGAAATTCATTGACGGTTTACCCCTCGCTGCTTCCCTTGCTTCCACGGACTGCACGCCTCTGCTTGTTCTTCAGTTTGGTAACTGATTCAAGGTCTGTGAATAAATCCTTTGAAAAAAAAAATTAATTAAAACAATTAGTACCTACCATATTTTTATAAACCCTATACTTTCTGAATTTTCTTGTATTACAGTCTGTCCTTAAAGCTGTCCTAATATACAGAGGCAGAGCATTATATGCAACTGTAAGCCTCCACAACCATAAAACAATAAATTTTGTTTAAATACCTACCACTATAGATATAGGAACCTGAATAATTAAAAAGATTCAGGTGTTGTAAGTGTGGATGTCATCAACAAACAAATCTAAATTTTTTCAAATGTTCTCTGGCAACATTTGACGTATAAGGTACCTGACCCCAATGGCAATATAGGTACCTAATAAGGCAGTGCCCTGTACTGCCTAATATTGAATCCCATTTTCAAAAATTACAATATTATTAAAAAATAAATCCATACTGCAAATCAAAAATTATTGCGAGAGTTCCTAGCAACGCCGTTATGTTTCGAAAAATGGCCAATCACATATTTCATATCTAGATTTCTAGTTACAGACTTTTTTTAAATCAATTTAACATGTTCCTAATAAGGCCATTCGCAAAATGTTCAATTGGCCTCACATCACAGTGTTCTTTTGAAAGAATGTGTCATAATATTCGAGATAATATTACTTAAGTGATGTTTTTTAGAATGCCTGGAGTCAAAGCTATGTTTTCGCTTGTGCCTTGTGCGTCGGGCAGCAGCCGCTGGCGGCAGCCTACTGATTCAATGCGTTTTATCATAACCGTTTTCGTTTGTGCGTCTCAGCGGTACCGCCAGACATCCGACGGCAAGCGTCTGCATCTCGTCTGAGCCGTGTGTCAGTCTGGCGGCAGCCGCACTGCGGTTGAGAGTTTTTTCCTTATAGTTTAGTGCAAAAAATGTGGAATACAAATTGAAACTGTGCAAAGCTTAGTCTGAAGAAAACCCTAAACTTAGTCTCATCCAAATTTAAGTGGTTTTTAATTAAAATATTATGAAATCCCTCTGTAAGTCGTCTTTTGGAAAGATCGTGAGTTTTTGTATGTTTTTTTTGTCAAAGCCCTTAAGGTACTTCTTCTTCTTCTTCCTCTTCTATTAGAAGGGTAATCCATAAATGTTTCCTCTTCATCCTGAAGAATTTTAGTACGAAGATCAAAAATTATTGCTACACAACGCAGCAAGTGAAAACATCCAACTGCACCGCCAGCCGCTGCATCTGGCGGCTGCTGCCCGACGCAACCGCCAGACCCACAAGCGAAAACATATTTTTAAGGTATGTTTTCGCTTGTGCGTCTGGCGCTTGCGTCGGGCAGCAGCCGCTAGATGCAGCGGCTGCCTGTGCAGTTGGATGTTTTCATTTGCTGCGTTGCCTCGCAATACATTTTGATCGTCGTACTTTAATTCTTCAGGATGAAGAGGCAACGTTTATTAATGGCTCTTCTAATAGAAGAGGAAGAAGAAGAAGAGTACCTTAGGGCTCTGACAAGAAAATGTACAAAAACTCACGATCTTTTCAAAAGACGACATACAGAAGGATTTCATAATATTTTAATTAAAAACCACTTAAATTCGGATGAGACTAAGTTTAGGGCCTTCTTCAGACTAAACTTTGCACAGTTTCAATTTGTACCTATTCCATATTTTTGGCACTAAACTATAAGAAAAAAACTCTCAACCGCAGAGCGGCTGCCGCCAGACTGACACACGGCTCAGACGAGACACAGACGCTTGCCGTCGGATGTCTGGCGGTACCGCTGAGACGCACAAGCGAAAACGGTTATGATAAAACGCATTGAGTCAGTAGGCTGCCGCCGGCGGCTGCTGCCCGTCGCAACCGCCAGACGCACAAGCGAAAACATACCAACCAAGCAAGAGAAGCTGCGGTTTATTTATCCTAGTTGTATGTAGACCTGTTTGGATCCCCATCCTAGGACTTAGAATTATTGTTTTTTTAGAATGCAGCGAACGTTCAAGTTCTATATTGTCTACTATTTCTCAAATAATAATATTTTTATAAATAATTGTATTTATTTTAAACATTTTTTATTTGTGGCCTTATTAGCAGTATAATGATCCAAATAAACTAGTGTGAAACTAGCAGCCGCATGTGTGAAGTTGGCAGCCAGTAACAACAGCAAAAATGTGAAGTTAGCAGCCTGTTTTAGCAGCCATTTTAAGACTGAATGGATAATGTCATAACTAAACTTTTGTTTCGAAAAATATAGGTTTTTCTCCATTCACCTGCGTTATTAGGAGACGCAGAGGAATAAAAAATAAATAAATAAAATAAAATATATGCCACGAAAAATGGAGTTCTGCGATTAAACTTGGTAGTATCATTGACGTTATCCTAAAGAACTTCTATACCGAGTCGCTTCTCCTTACGCCTCACCTAACATGAAGAAAACGGGACAAACAAAAAAGTTAATACGCTGCTGTAAATGCGGCTGGTAGTTTCACACTGATTCCAAATAAGCCCAATGGCGTCTTTGTTTTACGCAAAAACCACCACTTATATAAAAAATAAATAAATTGAGGTTAATATTCCAGAAATAGAAGCGAAACACTTCACCATATAACCTAGTGATTTGTGTTGGGTTTGGTCAAAGACAATACTACTACGAATGTATGTCTTTGGTTTGGTGGATAATATTAGGAAAAAAAATAAATAAAACGTCTCAACGTAGCCTTATTTGGGACAGGTACCTTAATTATAATTTGAAGATTAATGATGGTATATTCAATTCAGTAGACAGTGGATGACCCAGTTTCCTTGTCTTAATGAGGGCATGAAGAAGGCACCTTATCAAGACTTTGACTCTTTCACAATACATACTTCAGATTACTAATAAAGATAATACTGACTAATCAAAACAAAATAGCATTTCTTGATGATGTATCAGATAGGGATGTAAAATGACAGTCATTTATTTTTTGTGATAAGTGACAGTCATTTTTTTGTCATTTTTGTCATTTATTGTCATTTATGGTCATTTACCGTCAATGTAGAACAAAACATGACTTAAATCAATAATCAGATATCTGATTGGTTGACTATAGTTCTTCTTCAGTTTCACAGTCATCAGCATCAAAGTCATCTAATGAGTTAGAAAGTACATTCCCATCTCCTCCACAAGATGGACAGTAAATATCGGGAGTCAGCTGATATTTTTGTGACACTGTCATATATTTCAATGACAGTCATATATCTTAATGACGGTCAGTTAATAGGTCTATTTCTGCAGAAATCACAAACCAGTCAGAGTGAATTTCATTGGTTGAAACTAGTTTTCTGACTGTTTTCAACCAATGAAATTCGCTCTGACTGGTTTATAATTTCTGCAGAAACAAACCTATTATTTTGACTGTCAGAAAATTTAACGCATAAAAAAATAAATGACGTGACCGTCATTTTCATTTTGACTGTGACATGACACTGTCAGAAAAATTGGCCATACCTAGGGCCGATACTTTTGCTCTCGATTAACGAATTTGATACGTTGTCAAAGTTTTGCATGGGCCAAGGTCCATAGGTATGATGTGTGGTTAGAGCACATTCTAAGCCCTGATTATTTTTAACGGCTGTCAAATGAGAGCAAAAGTACCGGCACCTAGACTATCAGACTATTGTTTATAATAATCAGACAAGACACACAAATGATAATAATTATCACAAAGACAAGTTGACAAGAACTTCTCCTTAGGGGGTCCTTTATGACCTTGAAATATGCCAATTCTGGAATTTAGTTGGAATTTAAATGATTCTAAGAAGAATCCAGTTTGTCTGGAGAAGATAACTAATTCAATCAAAATTGCAAACTAACTGAGTTATTATTGATAAATTTGGTAATGTCTGATTGAAATTACAAAGGAACCCAAACTACTTATAGCGCACTACTGTAACTTGCCAAACAAATGTGGAATGTAAAGACTTGGTAATAGTGTTTAACAAACACATTTTTTTTTTAGGTCACCTAAACATTGTGAAGATCCTGGTAAAAGTTGGAGCTGACGTGAACCATGCGACAAAAACCAATTCCACTCCCCTAAGAGCTGCTTGTTTTGAGGGACGGTTGGACATAGTCAAATATTTGGCAGGGCACAAGGCCGACATACATATAGCTAACAAATACAACAATACCTGCCTGATGATTGCTGCTTATAAAGGACAAGTTGATGTGGTAGGTTACATCAAATTAACAGCATAAAAAAATTAGGAAAGAAAACAACTATAATTTTCTTTAGGTCAGTTTCCTTTTGGAAAGCGGTGCGAACCCAAACGAACGTGCTCTCTGCGGAGCCACAGCTTTGCATTTTTCAGCCGAATGCGGTCATGTAGAGATAGTCAAAGAACTATTAGATTATAATGCCGAATTTTACTCGAACGACACTGGCATGACGCCTATTAAAGCGGCCGCCGAAAGAACTAGAAGCCAAGTTGTAGAATATTTAATAGACAGGCCAGAAATTAGTAAAGAAGACTCTGTGGAGGCTCTGGAATTGCTCGGAGCTTCTTTTGCCAACGATAAAGAGAATTATTGTCTGATTAACGCTTATAAGTACTTGCATCAGTCAATGGCTCTCAGGTAATAAGCTTGCATTAAAAAAAAAGTGTTTATTTGAAATTATTTATTGCAGATTTAATGATCCAAACAATGTTATAAGTAAACCTATCTACCCTCCTATACCTGCTTATGGAAACTGGATTGAAACTCAAAATATGGCAGAGTTAGAAGCTCTCAAAGAAAATTCTAATGGTCTTCATATGGAATCTCTGACAATAAGGGAGAGGATTCTAGGGGTGCACAATCCCGAGTTGCCTCATCCGATTATTTACAGGGGGGCTGTTTTTGCTGACAATGCCCGATTTGATCGGTATAAATATAATAATATCCAAAAAAAATATATACCATTTTCACTTATTCTACTTCTAGATGTTTGGAATTATGGTTGCACGGTTTGAAACTGCGGCAGTTGAACCACATTTCCGTAGTGAAGGATTTGTTGAGGTTTGCCCAAGTGTTTTCGCAAATGATTCACGTCGGCGTGCAGCTTACCTACCAACAAGTTATTGAAGTTTTATCGGCCGCCATTATCGAATTGGAGAGGAATAAAGACAAATTAACGGCGCCAGGACCGAAGGACCCACCTGAAACTGTTATGGTAATGTGCTGTTTTATGTACAAATTATTGGTTAGTACTTGTGGGGGATTTTGAGACTTTTTAGCAATGCTTTCTGATAACTGTCGTTTGAGTCAAAATCTATGTAGATTTCAGTGATTTTTCTCGAGAAATTTGCTTCAAAGCAAATCGAGAAGTAAAGTTATCATAGGCCGTTTTATGGAGGAATGTAATCCTTCCATTCATGGTTATTTGATTTTGAGAAATGATTCGTGACCTTTTAATAGTGCTTTTTCATACTTTTTGAGACATGTTTTAGGTGTGAATTCAAATTTTATTTATTCCAAACTTTTGATTATGGCTTATAATAAGGGACTAAAGCAATCAAGGCACCATTATTTTTGTTTTTTGAATGAATGATTTTCTTCTTATTAATCCTTGATTTAGCAGCAAGCTAGTTGATGGAAGGAGTTAAATGAAATGAAAATTCTGGTTCGCAGATAAGTGAGATTACTTTTTCGAACTCTAACGAATTTTATTAAACACAATAACATAAAAATCACACGAAATTTAACACTACTTTACACTCCGAACTACTCCAAATAAAGCTTATACGGCACGATTATTTTCGAACGTGGTTATTTAGTTCCTGACTTTACAGTTTACTGCACTTGTTCTACGTCAATCAGAATTCAGAACTGATCCTTACGCGGTGCGCACCAGGGCTTTTTTTATAGTTATGTGCGTCCTTCTCTAATACGCTCGAATTTTCGTGATTCAGTTCATCTTGACAATAGTCGAATTTTCTGGCTTCTTTAACTGTAGTTACAGAGGGCAATCAAAAAGTTCGAGTGGCAGGTTTATAACAATATCATCAACTAATACTCACTAACTTGAACATTCTGACCAAAGCATGAACTTTCCTGAATGAAAAAAGGTATAAAATGATGAAATAATTTATTTTTAAATGTCTTTTTAGGACGAAATCGAAAGCAACTTAACTACAGCATTGTACATTCTAACGATTTTAACAAAACTGATGAAAACTTGTAACGAAGAAGAACGTTTCAACGTCCAAAGAATGGTTTTTGCATTAAACCAATTACAACTCACCCTTAGGAACGGCCAAACTTTATTGCACTTGGCTTGTAACGCTGAAACACCTGTAGACGATTTCCATACAAGTGACATATGCAAGTAAGGACTTAATAATTTCTAATACAAACCTATTTTTAATTTGAATAACTGCGCAGATTTCCTTGTGCCGAAACTACAAGACTCCTAATTCAATGCGGTGCCAATGTAAATGCGATGGACAAAAAACGAAACACTCCCTTACACGTCATAGTCAGTTACCACAAAGCCATATCGGATTTTTTAACTTTACACTCTATAATTACGGATTTGACGGAGCACGGTGCTCACACTGATATAGTCAATAATGACGGTGAAAGTCCTTTGGAAGCCTCCACAACGGGCGTAGCCGAAATTATACTCAAAACTCAAATTAAAATAAGCTTAAAGTGTATTGCTGCTAATGCAGTCAAAATTCATAAAATACCTTATCTTGGCCAGGTGCCTTCTGGTTTGGAAGAGTTTATAGAGCTTCATGGTAAAGGTATAGAACGATGGGAAAAGAATAGAAGTAGATTGAAAAGTTTATAGTCTGGTCTATTTTACTAAAATAAATGGTTTTATTATCATATGAACCCTGATCTGTTGCCAAAGGATTGAAATTTTTCACAAAATATTTTTATAATAATTGTAATTTGGCTCTAACGCTTTAATTCGCTTTATTACATTATTTAATTGGGAATATATGACTTATTATTTGCAATAGGAGAAGCTTAAAAATTTATATAGGTACTAAGACTGTGTTTTTTTAAGTTGTTAAAATTTTATTGTAAAAATGTACATAAATAATATATTATATTCGGTGATAACTTCTATGTGTTTTGTTGAGAAACAAATGTTTTTGAGAAAATGAGGTCCCCAAAGTTACATAATGTTCAAGAGTGTAACTCTAGAAGTCCTATTTAAATAAAAATGGTAGTGAGAAGCATTTTGGTACCTTTTACCATGCTCTCCTTGAACTTTTAATGTTCAAGCTTTGCATCTGGGGCAACTGCTTAGGTTCTATTGGCTTCAATTTGAGCCAGATTATACTAAGATTGGATTCAAGTAGACAAAGCATTAATGCCAAAGGTGTGACAGCGCTCGTTTATTTATAATATACATAATGTGATTTTTATTCTCCAAAAAGTAGACTGTAAGCTCCTAGAGCCAGAGCCATATCGGCCTGTTCCCAAAACCTGTGATAATCAACCACAGGAGCTGGACCGCCATTCAAAAAATTTTCAATTTGCGACCAATTTTCATCCTTCTTGTACCACGATCTGATATCCAAAAACGTGGAAGAAGCATTAATTTTATCTCCGTTAGGATAAGTACCCGACCAGTCTTGCACAGGGATAAACACCTAAACTTATCAATTTAAAGATTATAATAAGAAAATAAGCAAAAAATTCTTACAGGTTGCTCCATGTTAATAAAAGGAGACAAATCGGTGCGCACATAAAGACCTTTATCGTCTTTGTGATTGGCCCAAACAACATCCAATAGCTGTTTGGCTGTTTGTTTTGCACGACTGTCACCAGATTTAGCTGCATAGTAACTGAGAGCTCTAGAAAGCGAGCTAGCAATACCATAAAACTAAAATAAATTAAAATAATATTGAACCACATTATAAGTAAATAATTACAGTTGCTCCTGAAAAAGTTACAGTAGGTTTAGTGTTTCTAGGCAAACTTCCATTCCAAGAAATCATCACCGGAACACTATAACTAGTATCAGTGATAGTCACATGTCGGTATATCCAATCGAACCATTTTCGCAAAACAACTCGAGAGGTAGCATCCCCTGTTATATAATAATACTGAGCCAGTCTGTCCATGGACCACGTCCACATGCCGAACCAATCGCTGGTACCGTCGTCCATTAAAGGTTCGTTTTCGTAAAACATTCCGTAGAAGGTGTTTGCTCGAACGTCACTTGGTGGTTCTCCGTAAACGTTTTTCCAAGAATTTGTGACACCTCCTGATAGCGCACCTTCAGGTGTTTGGAGGTATTGGTAGAGCTGTACTTGACGGATTAAGGAGTTTTGCCAGTCTATGCGACCTGTGGGACTTTTAGGCCTAAAACAGAGTCATATTTGGGCTTTAATTATAATTGTCAATAATGTATGTGGTTTTAGATGAAATAGGTTTTGAGATTTCGGGCTATCTCAGCTAAGTTCCATTTATATCAAGGTTGATGCAAGTGCAGCAGGATAAGTGCTAAATAGGTTTTTGTGAGCAAGATGTTGTCACACAGAATATGCTCAACATTAAGGAGCAACTATTACAAAATATTGACACACAACGGCAACTTTTTGGGTCCCAACACTAAGATTGTTTAGATAATATGCCAATGAAATACGCTATAAAATGAAGTGTCAATAGATGATTCGTCGAGTAAGTCTTGAGATTGGTTGTATTACGACTTTCCCATTGGCTTTCGCCACTTTAACAACTGATATAAGAAAAGTCCTTAAGCTTCTAAAATTCGTTGCTGCTGGGACTGCGACATCTACCTACAACTTCTTGATTCCAGTTGTGTAGACAGTCACTCATTAGCTTTGTTTTGGTTTCACTCAGAACTAGTTCGGAATCATCCTGCACATGCGCATATTACAAAACGCGTTTTGGTTTTTTCAGAATCGTAATCGAACTGTGTTGACAGTGTTTTGGTTTATCTAGAACTTTTTGAGAACAATTCTGGGATTGTTCTAGAACGGTTCTCTCAGTTCTTGCTCTGAAGGAGGAACTGTTTTAGAATTTTGTGTTTTGGTTTTTTTGGTTCCGAATTGGTTCAGAACTAGTATTAGAACAGTCCTCTATTATTTTTTGTGCGCAAGCAGTTCTGCGCAATTCCAGAACGGTTCCAAATTTCGAACCAAAACAAAGCTAATATTATACTATAAATCTTGAATTCCTGGGGCTTCAGCTTCTATACCTATGGTGACTCCATTCGTCTTCTTTACACATTTTGTAGTTTTTTGTATTTTATAGGTTCTTGGGCTTCAACTTCTTCAGCAAGTTATACGTCATCTATAGGCACACTGTCTAGTGTAGTTTTGCAGCTCCTAGGACTTCCGTATATGAAACATCCGTTTCTATAGCCTACAGCAGCTTAAATGTTTTCCGCCCTGTGCATTTTGTAGAAAGACACTTGTCAATGTCCTGATTACGCTGAATTTTTGGCTGATTTTAAGGGCTTCTGTTTTTAGATCTTCTATTTCTACAGCAACTTATAGGTCTTCTGTAACCTCTAGACATACTATACACTCTGTAGAAAAACTCCTTACAGTGTCCTGATTGCCATGAAGGCAAGTTTTATAATTTATAAATTTCTCGGGCGTTGTTTCTAGAGAATCTTGTGCATATTTCTTGCACACTTATAAGTTCTGTAGAAAGACAATCCTCATGTGTCTGGTTCAATAATGTAATTTTTAAGACTAAGCACATCCTAGTCAATCTAGAGACTTTGGAAGAAGACACTAGATTGTAGATTGTGGGGGGAGTCCTTTCGGCTTTCCAGCCGCTCAGCACTACTTCCTTTGCAGATATTTTGTATGTGATTCTACATCCTAAATTGTCTCCAGGAAGCGTAGACTTCTGCCGAAGGAAGCTATTTTTCCGGGTGTCAGTTGGTCCACTTCTTCTGGTGACAGTGTTGCTCCTCGAGGAATTGGGCTGGACATTCGCAGAGCAGGTGCTCTGCGGTCTCTATTGCGTCTGAGCAGAATCTGCAGAGATCGTCTTCTGCTCTGCCCATTAACCTTAGGTGGTATTTCACCAGGCAATGTCCTGTGAGCAGTCCTACGACTATTCTGATGTCCGGTCTGCTGATGTTTAGGAGCTGTTCAGCTCTTTTTGCTGAAAGGGTGATAAACCTTTTTGACTGGTTTTTCTCCCATTTGCTGAGCTCTTCTATGGTGTGGCTTTTAATTAAGCCACAATAGGGCTCTGGTCTATGGTATGGGTATGGTGATGAGGCTCCTGGACCAGGCATCCACATTAGCGTTACGTGGTTGTGTGTCGCTAGTGTTTTTGGGTCTGTTTACACTCTCAGGCTAGTTTTGTGGTGCATTTGGAAGCCCTTAAGTCTTTTAAGGCAGCTTGGATATCTGAGTATAAAGATGTGTTTTCATTTGAACCTTTGGTTGAGAAACTCTTGTGCACATATGTTTAGGGCAAGCAGAGCTGGGACTCTGTAACGGATAGAGATATTTTCTCTATCTCTATTGACGTCCTCTCTCTATTGCTTCCGAAAAGAGAGCAGAAGACAGCAAGTGCCATAGCGATAGGGATAACGATCTCTATCCGTTACAGAGTCCCAGCCCAGTTCGGCTTGAAATATTGTAAGATGTTTGCCCAATGCCTTGGAGAGCTTAATCTTAGGGCCGGATATGCCCAGTCTAGCTCCTTCCATTAGTTTGGATCCATATGTTTACCACAGAGATGCATTGTCTGCTTGTGATAATTCTTTATTCTCCCATGATTGGCGCTCGTTTATTAGGTACCACTGCGAATGGGATCTCCAAGTCAAATAAGAGCTATCACACACAGCGTTGTACCGCACCCAAACCGGATGCAACCGCATCATGCTGTGGTGGCATCGCACAACCGGTGACCACAATAAAACGAAAACACGTGCAGTTGTATGTTTGCAGTCACCCGTAACAATTCAAACGTAGTGGTTCTTCAGCAATATTTGAGTTCGTTTTTGTTGTTTGTTGTTTGTTGTTTCATCAAATTTCATCATGTTTGACGTGGATTTATTCATTGAGTGCCTCCACAATAAACAGGCATTATGAGAGAAAAGGTCGAAAGAATACACAGTCGTACATTCGAATTTTCTCGTAGAACTTTGCAAACCTTTTACTCGTCTCTCTTTCCAAATTGAAAGGGTGAATCCAATATTGACGATCCACCAGCTTTCCTAATAAATCCTCCGCTTCTAGAGCATACACAATCTTAAATGAATTCGCCATGATACTACTATCATGATAATACTACCAAAATTCGACTGGCGAAACATCCCTTTGAAACAGATCCCGATGGGATAGTGTGACAAGTAGAGTTCATCCGGTCAAAACGCATCCCTTCTTGCCGCAGCGTGAAAAACGCATAGTGTGACACCGCACTAAGTCCAATCTGACCATCATGTGGTCGCTTGAGTTGCTGGCATTCTCTAGTTTCATTATTTCAAAGATGCGCAAATGTCCCCTCAGATCACCAAGCTTTTGTTTGAAATAGCCTGCGAGCGCTGATTATTGCCTCCTTTTTCACACATAGGTGAAGTGGAGGCATGTTAAGCAGCGTCTCTAGAGCTGCGGTGGCGAAGGTCGACATTGCTCCCGTTATTCCTAGGCATATCAGCCTATGTACCTTGTTTAGCTTGATCTGAGCAGCGACTTGCTGAGTTTTGGGCCATCATACCAATGAGGCGTATGTGTCCATGGGCTTTATTACAGCTTGGTAAATGTAGAATACTGTAATGACCCGGGAAAATAAACCCGTAATTTACAATGTCTTTACTGTAAAAATTAAATGTAATCAAATATTCAAAAACTGAATTTCCTGTATTTCAAATCAGTATCTATAAATTGAAAGACGATGAAACAAATTAGCAGTGACCCAAATTAATTAAAATATTTATATGGATACGTTCAAATTTTAAACAAGCCATCAGTGACCAAGCACGTGTCATCATTTGAACTCGTAAATAAAAACCCGGAAAAGATCAATCACAAGGTTAAGCACCTAATTAAATTGAACCCAAAATGACAAAAATTTCGAACAGATTGCATCATCCTCTAAATGAAAAAGTTATATTTTTGGAGTAATATCAAGGTCGACCAATAGAATTGAATCATAGATGGTCAAACGACCGCCTATTTTGTCGTTATTGGTGGATAATTACTAATATTTTGAGGGGAATCGAAAAATATAAATACAGGGATTTAAGAAGATCAGGGCCGAGATTCTAAAATCACGATTCGACACACGACTCGATAACGATACCGGCCTTGTCGTCTCGAAAGGTACAATTCCAATGAGATTTCTAACCTAGAATCGTCGGAAAAATCGTCTCGTTGTCGAGTCGTATGTCGAATCGTGATTTTAGAATCCCCGGCCAGTTCAGTGGTTCAGCCTGCAGTCCAGTTTTGAGTAGAAAGTCTACAGTACCTAATGAGTCAGTCCGGATAAAATTCGCGAGAGTTTCATTCATTTTTGCCTCGGGAAAACGCGTTAAACTTTGAAAAGTAATTAAAATTTATGAAAGAAAGACCATTTAAATGCGTTCAACATTATGTACGAGCTCTAGAGATTTTTGAAGTAAATTGATTAAGTAATTTTACGAGTGAAAAGTTAAATGTACCTAAGTACTCTAGTGACTAGTAAAACTTTTTGATTTTATAAATGATAAATGACTATGAAGTGAAAAGAAACTTGATGTTCAGGAAATAAGATTGTTGACCTTAAGTGCTGAAATTTTGATTTATACACAAATATAGTTGGTAATACATATGTACTTAATCCAGTGAGTAGGATTATGACTTAAATAATTATTCTGCATAAGCTGTCAGTAAATGACTCAGGAGTTTAAGAACTTATAGGTATAGGTGAAGGGTAGTTTTAATAGGAATGTGAATCAGAAGTGTTGTTTGAAAGAGTAATGTATAAAACTTATAAGTTATTAAGAATAGGAGAAGTAGGGCATTTTTAGTATGGATATTTCCTGGTTTGTAGCAATGAAATTTGAACGGATGTGAAATAATTTGAATTGGGAAAAATAGAAGTGGCTGTCAGACATAGAAAGATATTTGTTTATTTTAATTTTGGTTTCTAGATTACTTGAGTGCGTTTTGCTACAAATTCAACCAAAACGCATGACGAGTGGTACTTATGATAAACTATCATAATTGTGCGTAAATAAACAGATAGGGTAATATTTGGAAACAAACAATATCCAGAGTGAATAACAAGTTGAATTTAGGGAAAACAACTCGTGTAAAAGTGCGATATAGATATTAAGGTTATATGTTAGTGACCAATTTGATATGTTTTAAGTTAACGATTGTGGGTTTATTGGTCGAAGTTAAAAGAAACCCATTATTTCTTTGCCGATGTTTCGGATTTATTTAATCCATCTTCAGGGCTCTGTAGATAAGAAGAGAGCACATGTTACGACCAATAAACCCACAATCCTTAACTTAAAATAGATATTAATTTTCAACTGGAAAGATGCTGTGGATGAAAAAAAAATTATTGGCGTAGGTTTGTTAGACTTCAGAAGAGCATTTGAAACAATAAATAGAAATCTGAACATAATATTTTAAAAAGCTTTAAGCAGAAGATCGCAGGTGCAAAGTACAGACGATCCCTTACCATACCGTAGGTAATGTGTGAGAACATAATGATATCTCAACTACTCATCTGATTGGTTAGATAATAATTCTCTATAATTAAATATAAATGAAAAAAAATCGGAAAAGTCGAAAATGTATCTAGTGTACTCAAAATAATATCGGAACGGAGTCTAGTAAATTCAGTACTGACAGTTGATATCGGAACATAGCCTGTATCTCGTCGTACCATCTTTGTTAGGATCTTCCAACACTCTCCCCAGGTCACCATCTAGTGATATACCCGCTCCAGCTTTCTGTATGTCTGGCTACGTGTGCTGCCTATTGCCATTTAAGGGAACCAATTCTTTTTATTATGTCGGAGACTTTGGTTCTTTCCCTTATCCATGTATTTGTTTTGTGGTCTCTCAGGGAAATGCCTAAAATTCGTCTTTCCATAGCTCTCTGATGTACTTCCAATTTATGTTTAATTTTTCTGGTTATTACCCAGGTCTCGGAACCATACGTAACAATAGGCAGTATACATTCGTTATAGACTTTTGATTTTAAAGGCATTTAGATATTCATGCTGAAGATGTAGGTAGTGTAAGTACTTTAATTTGCTGTAAGCCGCCCATCCTAGTATCCTATATCGATTTCCATTTCTTGATTTTGTTTGCCCGGTGTTATGGCTTGGCCAAGGTATACCTATGTATGTTTCTGTCTTTTTTATTGTGCTGCCATGGATCGGTATTGTTTCGTCTGCATCTGGCGTATTTGTAATAAACTGGGTCTTTGTGTAGTTCATGTGTAATCCTATTTTTGCCGCCTCATCCTGTAATTCTTCCAAGATATCTATCAATTCCTGTTTGTCTTCTGAAAATAGTACAATAATATCGTCGGCAAATCTTAGATTGTGCAAGCGTTTACCATTTGTGTTCAATCCTTTGTTTTCCCATTGTAGCTTTTAAAAAATATCCTCGAGCACCAAAGTGAATAGTTTTGGAGATATTACGTCCCCTTGCCGAACTCCTCTTTTGGCGTTTATTCTGTTAGGTATATGATTCATGAAGACTTATCGACATTGTCGAAGTCCTATAGATATTTTCAATAAGATTTATATAACGTTGATCCACTCTGGCATTTCTTAAGGAATTTCTTATTGCCCAGATTTCTATTATGTCGAAGGCTTTTCGGAAATCGACAAAAGACATCCATAGGTTTATATTATATTCTGTAGCTTTCTCGATCATCTGCCTTACTGTGTGTAGATGTTCTGTCGTGCTATAATGGCTTCGGAACCCAGCCTGTTCCTTTGGTTGATAAACTTCGAGTTTTCGCTCTAATCTGTTGGTGATTATTCTGGGTGAATAATTTATATATCTGTGATAGTAAGCTTATCGGCCGGTCTAAGGGGATATAACCCTTTCTCCAGTTCTTCCATATTTATGTCGGGCATTTCTTCTGAGTTTGCATTTACTATTAGTATTTTGTCTTCTCTTGTCCTTGTGTTTGCTATTTTAGATTCGTACAGATCTCTATAGAAAGATTCCGCAACTTTTAATATCTGTTGTCTGTCTTCTACTATGTTGTTTTTCGCATCTTTTATTTTTGTTCTCTTTCTTGGGTGTGTTATGTTTTTTAAATATATTCAGTCTTTTGTTCTGTTCTAATAGGGATTGCACTTGTTTCGTTTGATGTTTTAGTATATCCTGGTTCGCCATTTTTCTTGCTGTTTTGTTGGTTTCTGTATATTCAATAGTGTCTCTTTTACCCTCGGTTATCAGTTTTCTCCTTTTCTCTAGTAGCTTTTTCGTTTCTATCGACAGTTTGTCCGGCGTTTTCTCTAGGGGGCCTATTATCTGTTCTGCTGTTTCTTTTATAATTTTTGTTATTCTCCCATTATTATCATCTAATGACTCTTCTGTTTTTCCTGGATTGTTGGAAAAGTATTCCTTCAGCCTTTGTTTGTATGTTTCCCTTCTTTCTGCTATCTTTTCTGTACTTCCTCTCTTCGCCGTTTGTTTCATCTTTGTTTTTTTTTTCCATTTTTGTGTTTATGAGCAGTTTGCATCTTACCATCCTGTGATCACTGCCGGTGTTGAATTGATTGACTACATCTACGTCTTGGATTATGTGTTTATGGCGGGAGATTATAAAGTCAATCTCATTTTTGGTTTGTCCATCTGGGCTATTCCATGTCCATTTACGTTTCTCTTTCTTTTGGAAGAAAGTGCGTTCATCAGATAGAGTCTTTCTCTTTCTAGGAAGTTTGCTAACATTCTTCTCCTTTCATTTCTGGTCCGAACCATGTCCGAACTGTCCTATGTGTGTTTCCGTTGGTTCTGCTCTTCTGCCTATTTGTGCATCAAAGTCTCCTCCTATAGAATAGTGTGCGTCGTTGGGTTCTCTCTTATTGCTCTCGCTATGTCTTCATATACCGTTTCCTCCTCGTCATCTTCATGTGAGGAAGTTGGTACATAAGCTTGTATATATTTTAGCGTTATATTTCTATTTATGTTGATAATGACATATATTACTCTGTCAGATATTGTTTTCAGGATTTTCAAGTTTGTCGATAGTTTTTTTAGATGTATAATAGATGAACATTTTCCAGTTATTTCTCAATATATTGATTCGCATATAAAGTATCTGAGCTGAGCCTTTGTGGAAAACTAACTTTTTTTTGAATAAAATTATAGGTCCTCATCTTTATTTTTGCCCAACAGTATTATTCTTTATGAACAACTTTCAAATGGGCTCTGTAAAAGGACAATAATCATGGTAGAGTGTAGATAGATACTGAAGAAAACCACCTATTTAAAATATTATTTCTTCAAATCTTAACTTTTTAAAAAAACGTTTACTGGATAAAAGTAAATGTTGCAACCATGTAATCCGCCGCGAAGTTTAAGTTTTTGGGAACGAGAGGCGCCAGAGAAAAACGAAAGTACCTACCGAAGCCAAGGGTATAGGTAGAGAATACGCGACTAGACTAGAGAGAAGAAACACAGCTGAAGAAGATGGTCCCTTAGACCGTTTGTCCGCCATTGTTCATTTCTCAATTTTTATTTTGTATTAAACTGATTGTTCAATCCAATTTGTGATTAGTGTGTGTGTGTCAAGGAGTGATCACAGGTCAGTTGAATAATTGTTATTTTGTTTTTGAGAGTTCAATTTATACAAGTATTATTTTTTTTCCCCATTTTTATATTTTTTTGTTTGTTTATAACATTTTTATGTGCTGTCTTTTGTACTAGGATTTTGATTTTGAGATTTAGAGCGTGCATTAGGGCGTTGTCGAATTTACTTACATTTTCCGACCTTGTCGAGAGAATATCCTAGCAAATTGAAATAATCAATCTAGAGATATTGGCTCAAAAACAACTGTAGCTGAGTAGCTTCCCGTATGGGACCTCAGTACCTGCTGGCAGACCGGTTAACTAACCAAAAACACTTCAGTACCTATTAAATATAGGTAGTGTTGATTGAATGTTGTGTGTCGAATTGAAATTTTTAGCACAAAAACAAAGGATGGGTACCTGATTTAAACTTTTATTGAATTATTGAATTCACCAGATACAAACGTTGGTAAACGGTTTGCGATTGTTCTGCTGAACGCTACGTTGAATTTGTGTTGAAACCAAATATGTTTTGCACACGGTCGCCATTTTTGCAAGCATAATTTGAGAGTGTTTATAATTTTCAACACTGTGTTTTGTGTGATGACCTGTCATTCAGAGGGTGACGTTCTATCATTGAAAAGTTGAATCGTACAGCAGAACCAAGAGTTTACCCAACATATTCTGTTGGTATTTGTAAACTGTTCACAATCTGTTTTGGTTCTGGTGAACGTAGCCATTGACTTAAATTATTGAATATTGATTATTGACTCACAATTAATTATTAAAAATGACACAGTATGATTTGATTTTTGAGGCATGTTCGATCGAGGGTTTCTCTGCCATGCTCTTTCCCATCGTTAGTTCCAGGATGAGAACGGTACGATTTACTTTAATAATAAAGTAGACGTTTCACAAATTTTTCTTTTCTTTTACATATCACAGCTTCCCTTAAATTTCCCAAATATTTGCTATGTCGAGCGCATGTCAAGAAAGTAAAATTGAGTGAGTTTCCACAACGTAGGTCCTATTTGTTTTTCATTTCATTTTTTACAATAAACATAAACTCAAGAAACAAAGAGCTGCAAAAAGGAAGTTTTGACAATTAAAGAGACCTTGACCACATGCCTACAATAAATTTGTTTCTAATGAAATTGGAATATGTCCGTAAATTTTAGGTATCAATATCAAATTATTCTAGTTCACATTTAGAATGGAAGTTATTACCTCAGGTTTGGATCGTTAACCATTGCAAAAGCAGCTACAGGATTTTGATACCCAATAATAATCTCGGAACTGCCGGTTCTCCAAGAATAAGCATCCTGACTATCGATATTGCCACCCCAACCGATAAACCAAGACAGCAAATAATGGGCGCTTTCTTTGTAGGCAGCAGGTCGACAGGAAGTACCTATACAGTTACCCACTGTCCTGTAAAGTACATCGTAAAACGAATATCTTAAATAATCGCCCAATTTGGAAACTTTAGCAAGAGTGTTTTGTATAGTGGAAATCTGCCCGTTTCGCGTAGCCCATTGAGAAGCCCAATACGCAGCCTGGATAACTCTGGCATCAGCGTCCGGAGCTACACTATAATGCCAATTTGGTATATTAGATGTATACTGAAAACAATTAATAATTAAATTATTCCAGTTATATACTGTAAATTTATTACCGAAAATCCTGTGGAACCGCCATAAGCGAAATTATCACAAGCAGGATAAGTGATGCCTTGCCAAACGCTACCGGCACCCATATGTACAAACGAAGGCCCACTAGCCTTCGGCCCCAATGTACACTGACCCTGGACATTGCCAAAACCAAAGTTGTCATCGGTGTCTAAAAGCCAATGCATTAAAAATAGCTTGTCTTCACCATATGTGGCCTTTAGTTCGTCGTGAAGCGGATCTACACCAACTGAAAAGTCAGCGGAGTAAACTGGAAATTTAGGATTGTAGCTAGAAACTTGTTTGATTAGTTTTAATTGGGCTTAGAGTGTACAGTTACCTTTCAATGTTGTACTGAGTTTGTGGTATTAAATAATTTTCAATTATGTTCCAAGCCTGGTTGAATGGCTCAAAATTTTTGGAAATGGCACCATACATTGCATGCAAGTATATATTGTAGCTAAATTAATTGGAAATTAGTATATCAACAAAATAATATAAAATATAGTTTTTTGTTATTGATAAACTACAAAGTGGTTACCTTAAGGCTTCTGAATCAGTTTCGTGTCCATGATCTACAGTTTCCACTAACATATTTTCTCTGCTATGATAAGGAACGCCTTCTTTGGAATAATAGCCATTGTTTCCATCTGTTATTTGGTTGTATAAAATTAAAAAACGATCTTTGTAAGTACCAGCGCTGGCGCAAGCTGCTAAGAATATCACTAGGAAAGGTTGGAGCATTTTTTCCAGTGCTGAAAAATTAATCAAATCGTTTTCCATTGGATAAGTAAGTCTGGACTTACCTCTAGAGAAATAGCTGGTATATCTAAATGTGTTAAACGATTAATCAAATTCCAAATTATAAATGGAAAACAACTATAGGTTTTAGATATCTCCATACTTGAAAATTGTTTTTGATAACTTTCAAGTATCTTTGATGCACATTCACAAGTTGTTTTTTCCCTTTGTCGGTTACATTGTTTAAAAGTTCACCTGTTTATTGTAAAATTTTCATTCAAGCTTTAGGACACTAGACTTTTGGAACTGAAAACCGAAAACGCTACTCATTGTTATTTATTGGTAATTTATTTTTCCTACAGCCGTGCGGAAAAATCGATTTTCCGCACTGATATGCGTGCGGAAAATGAGTTTTCCCGCACGGTGCGGTAAAACTTTTTTTTTTGACATATCAGTGCGGAAAAAGTTTTTCCGCACGGCTGTCAGTGCGGAAAAAATTTTACCGCACTGACATGTCAAAAAAAAAAAGAAAAATTTTACATTTTTTCGCCTGTAGGAAAAATATTGTACCTAACACTTGCGGAAAATATTTTTCCGCACTCGGCTGCATCACCGAACTCCGCTACGCGTCGTTCGGTGAACGGCAGCCGCGTGCGGAAAAATTCATTTTCCGCACTTGTTAGGTAAATAGCTATATTCATCTACGGGCAAAGCTCAATGTACAAAACTATAAATAAACTATATAATAGTATATTATGCAATGATCATGTAATGATAGCCATTAATACACGAGCATGTTGTAGGATACGAAACGAGCCGCAGGCGAGTTTTGTATATAACATGCGAGTGTATTAATGGCCATTACATGAGAGTTGCATACGCTATTTTTTCTACTTGCATTAATAAACGAAAAACATATTTTTATTACGCATGCATCATAATCAACGATTATCGCACGCTTCAGCGTGCATAAACTGATGTTTATGATGCGTCTATCTTTTCAAAGGTTTGCTATAGAAACGTTCGATCTACCTTCATTACCTAGATATTTACCTGCATACCTGCTATTTAAATTACTACTTATCAAAATGAATGAACACTTTTAATAGTTATTTATGATATAAGTGTTAAAAGTACATTTTTAAGGCACGCATGTGAAAGTTTGCAGAATGAGCGAAGCGAATTCTGCAATTCACATAAGTGCCTTAAAAATACTTTTAACATAAATATCATACAATATTTTTTCTACAAACGGCAATAAAAAGCAATAACCACTAACAAATTGGATTTTTAAATGAATAATAAATTGGAAGCATCTTTCCTACATAAAATTCTTGAATTTGACATTTGTCAAACAATCCATACAACTAGCACCTTGTTTTACAGGTAACGAAATGTCTTGTCAGTTTCTTGAAAGTCTGTCGTGGTCAGATACAGAAGAAACAGAGGGTTGCATCGATCCTTCGAAAAATATAGATGAGGCGGCCAATCGGGCTACCTCAGTTGTTCAAATTTCACCATTAATATCAATGTAAATAACTGAAAATACAAACTTTTTTTGACGTCCGCTCTCAAAATTTGATGTTTCACTTTTAACACTAGTGCTATAAAGACTTTATGGCACTAGTGCGATAAAGTAACATTTTTAATGCTTCGGGGCCGTGTTAAAAATTGCATTTTTAACACGTTTGTAGAAAAAACATTTTTAAGATTATGATGCATTCGTAATAAAAAATAGCGTATGATATGCGTGTATAAGAGGGCATTTAAAGCCCTTGCGACTTACAAAACACTCCGCTGCGCGTCGTGTTTTGAAATATGTCGTGCGTGCTTTAAATGCCCTCTTATACCTACCACTTATATCATAATATACTATTATTTTATAAGAATAGTAAACTTCTCAACCGGTGATAATTGTTGACAACTTGACAATTTCAAAAATTAAGATCTATACTTTATTTTTTCCCAAGATAGATTTTGACATTGAAAACTTTGAAACATAAACAATAATTCTTGACCCTGATTGGTCGCAAAATGAGGTGTTTCTGCAGGTTGACATCAGTTTTACAATAGCGGCCAATAAGTTGCATTAGCGGCATTGTTTATGTTTCAAAGTTGACAATGTCAAAATCTATCTTGGAAAAAAATAAAGTATAGACGTCATTTGGGCATAAATTCCGAACCCCATTTATTAATTTTTTGTTGTTCCTTCTGGTAAATACTAATAGAAACGATCCAAAACTTCAAAGCATGTCTGTTATTTTTATATAAACATTGTTCATGTTCAAAATACTCGATTCCAGTGGCTGAAAAATCTGTATCATAATGAAAATCTGTATCATAATGAAGTTCATTATGAAACAGATTTTAGGCGTATTATGAAACGTCAGTAGAAAAATAATAAAGTATCTAATAAAGATACTAAAGAATTCTAGACTAAGTACAGTAACTGTTCTTTTATCCTTGAGTACAATAATAAATTAATTTAATTTCAACTAAAATAAATTAAGTTATGGCATAAATTTTATCCAGATTGAACAAATCTGGACCCATTACAGTCCCTTGCGGCACTCTCCCAGTGTGATTTCCCTACTCCGATGATTCGGTGTTGCTATATCTCGTTTTCTGTGTCCTGTTCTGCAAGTAACTCTCAATCCATCCCAAAGCATTTCCACATAGTCCTAAGCGCTCTAATTTTTTTAAAATCAATAATGGCCTACTTATGGTTTTAAACGCTCTACAGAAATCAAGGAAAACGGCCCCAATTAATAGATTCTCTTGCAATGCAGATTTCCAATTGGCCAAAACATTTTGAAGAGCGGACTCACAGCTGTTATTCTTTCTAAATCCTGCTTGGTAAGTTGTCAGTAGTCCTTTTTACCCTTGTAGCGCTACTTTGGTTTTCCGGACGGTTAAGGGGTTTTCGGAAAACTCGGGCGCCACCCTTAGGATTATAGTGGTTAAGGTTTAAAGTCAGGCCTATTGTTTATTGCAGCAACGCGAGATGTCAGTACTGTCGCCCCTATAGTGTGCCCTAGCTTGATAGTCTTAAAAAAATAGAAATCTGTATTTGGTTAAATTGTGTGATGGAAAGTTTTTTCTTTTTTTTGCTGAAATTCGAAGTATTATTCTGTTTTACACAAACAGGGTTGTAGTTTGGACCAACACAAATAATTTTGAACGTTCATCCGTCGGATTTATTTTTAAACAGTGTAGCTACAGGCGTATTTCCAACTATTCTTGCAATAGCGAGAAAACTACAAGTTCAAAAAATTTGAAAAAAATATATTTCACGTAGAATTGCAATAGTAGTTCGTAATAAAAATAACGGGAAACTTCATCTCTTCGTTTTGAAATAAATGGTGAAAAACCATTTTTTTTTTTCAGTTTTTGCGATATAACTCAAAAATGGCGAGTCAAATTTGCTTAAAAAAATTATGGATTAAAGTATATCAATAACCATAAAACATATATTTTTTTTGGAATTTTTGAACACAAGGTTCAGAAAATGGGGGTTGACTTTAAACCTTAAGGGCTAGAGGACGGTTCGATGATTCCATCTTCCAGCATTTTCTTAACTTCGGTGTTGACTATATTTCTTGCATCCGGGGATTTTGCGGTCGGTAACGTTGTTTTATCGTTTCGGGATTCAGTAGATGAATGGTATGTTCCACTAAAGGGGTAGTGCCTTTGATTTTGTCAAACTTCGGCAACTCGTGGTCCAGTTATTCCTGCAATAGTACCTCTTCGGCGGGCGTTAACTCCAGGTTCGGCGGGACATCTATCGAACCTATATGGGACTACATAAAGTAGGAAACGGTAGAAGACAGTTGTTCAAATAAATTTCGCCACTGCCCAAATCCAGATGGAATTTGTCGGACGTCAAATTCGGAAAGTGGCTGATGGTTTCGGTCAGTGTAATTTTTCCGAGCTGTAACGGTATCCGGTAAGCTTTCGAAATGTCGATTACACCTCCATTGGCCACTTTGGCACTTAGGTTGTACTTCGGAATAATCACTGAGACGGCAGATATCTGCAGCGAGGTCCCCTATATACGAGTTGGCGGCTCCGGTATCGATTAAAGCTAAGAACGGGGCTTCTTCGATGTAAACGCATACATGCGGTCGAGAATCTGGTAGAAGAATCTGGTTTACATCTTTCGGAAAATATGGATGTCTATTCGAGGTTATTAGCTTACGGTGCTGGGCCGACTTCAGACTAGGACAACACCTTTTTAGTTTCCTGCCCGAACGGTGAAGGTCACACGGGCAGTCTCGGGACCCAGTTTTCCACAACGGGAGCAGAATAATTTTGGAGTACCCCGGCAGTCTGTTCTGAAGTATCCAGTTTCTCCACATTTCCAGCAAATCATTGCTTCGGACCAATTGTTCGGTCTAGAATTTCGTTGGTATGATTCGGTTCTGTTAGGCCGTTCGGCTCTAGGGTTTTGTTGCCAGCTTCTCGCTGGTGCGGGGTTCGTAGACGGGTTATATAGAATCCTAGAGGTTTCATTGCGTATTTCCTCCGTAGTGGTTTGAGGTAATGTGCGTATGCTGGCTTCCACATTTGCTATGATGTCTTCGTATGGCAGGTCTTTCGGTGTTATCGCAAAATTGCCTCCTTTTCTCAGAACACTGGTTTCCGAATCAGTCAGAACGCGTTGGGTCAGGTTGACAACTGTGCGATCATTGCCTGTGGGTTTCGTAGTGTTTACAGGCTTCAAGGAGTTAAACTTGTTTACCAGTTTCTTGGTTGTTTTCGCTAGTGTGGCTTCCATCACGTCATACGTCATCCGGTCAACTTTGTCCCAGTCACTCCAGTGCATGCTGTTGAATAACCTTTGGTTTATCGATAGAAGATCCTTGTCCATAGCTGCTAGGTCTTTCCTGGTCTGGTGGATCCGTTCCCGAAGCAAGGCTCGTTCCGCCCGTTCAAAAATTTTGTTGGATTGGAAGGAATTAAAAATTCTTCGAATCTTCAGGAATTTCGGAACGACTTTCGAGTCTCTACATCTTTGGAGAAAAGCAAGGGAGCCTAGAGAATGGGCCTTTTTCTTGCGTAAGTTTTCCAAGCGTCGAATAAGTCGTGGTACTTCCTCCCCGTAGAGGCGTTTGAATAAAGAATGAAGGCTTTCACGGCCGGTCAAATCTAGCAAGAAAGTTTTT